TATTTGTGTGAGAGCCGGAATGATGTCACAACACACCCAAAGGCACAAGCATCCTATTACGTAGGCGGTAGTAAATGATTCTTATTAAAGTTCTTTTAAGATTTTATTAATGCTTATAATTTTTAAAAAATTTATTCAATCTATTTATTAATCCTGTGTTATCAGTCTGCTGAAAACAGCAAAACAAAACAAAACACTGCAACTGTTTTCAAACGTTAGTATGCATAACGATCACCTGGGAAGCTTGTTAGATGCAGCTTTCTTCTCCCCACATGTGTGGCATCTGATATGGAGGTAAGGAATTTGCTTTGTGTAAACTCCCCAAGTATATTTTAATGAATGGGATTTTTAGGTCACGCTCCTTTTCTAGGAATATGGTGGGCAATTTAAGTGATTTCCAAGTACAAGATGATTCATGTCACTTATTCCAATCACCGAGTGTGGTATCTTAAGTTCGGTTGACTGTTTTCCTGACAACGTAATTCTTTTAATAAACATAAACATCAAGTTCTAGTAGTTCTTATAGAGGTAATACTTATATTTTTAATGTATACTCTAATATATATATATGATGATTTCTAACATTTGCATAGTGTTTTAAATTTAAAAAATCACTTAATATATATTTTTTATTTTCACTTCATCCTAAACAATGGGGCTGGTAACAATAATTTAAGACAAATTAATTCTATAGGTTTCCCAATAGGTCAGCAAGTCGAATGGAACACTACCAGCAATCAAACTGTTCTAAAGTCACCCAACAGCCTCATTTTAAGATCAAGTTTTGTTGACTTAACACTTTTCAAAAAAAATATGTTAACTTTTAAAAAATCAGGGTCTCTGTGCTAAGTTGGGATGAATTAGTCATAATTTTTGCAAAAGAGGCAGATTTGGAAAACCTGCTGTTCCTGTGGTGTTCTAGCCACGGCATCACTTGAGAAAGTGAAGTGAAAAACAACACCAGATATCAGGTTATACTACAAAGCCACTGTAATCAAAACAGCCAGGTACTGGCACAAGAACAGGCATACAGATCAATGGAACAGAACAGAGAACCCAGAAATGGACCCAAAGCAATATGCTCAATTAATATTTGACAAAGGTGGCAAGAGCATGCAGTGGAGTCAAGACAGCCTCTTCAATAAATGGTGTTGGGAAAACTGGACAGCTACATGCAAAAAAATGAAACTAGAGCACCAACTTACACCATACACAAGAATAAACTCAAAACGGATAAAAGACTTAAATGTGACTTGTGAATCCATAAAAATTCTAGAATAAAATGTAGGCAACAAAGTTTCGGACATCACATGCAGCAGGATTTTCACTGATACAACGCCTAAGGCAAGAGAAACAAAGGAAAGAATTAATACATGGGACTTCATCAAACTAAAAACTTCTGCACAGCAAAAGAAACAACCACCAAAATGGAAAGGGAACCCACTGTATGAGAGAGCATAATTGCCAATGATACATCAGATAAAGGGTTAATTTCCAAAATATATAGAGTACTCATACAACTCAATGAAAGGAAGACAAAGAACCTAATTAAAAAATGGGCAGAGGATCTAAATGGACACCTCTCCAAAGAGGACATATAAATGGCCAAGAGACATATGAAAAAATGCTCAACATCACTAATCATCAGAGAGATGCAAATTAAAACAACTATGAGGTGTTACCTCACACCTGTCGGAATGGCCGCCATGAACAAATCGTCAAAAAACGAGTGTTGGCGAGGGTGTGGAGAAAAGGGGACTCTTAGTACACTGCTGGTGGGAATGCAGACTGGTGCAGCCACTATGGAAAACAATATGGTGTTACCTCAAAAAATTTAAAATTGATCTGCCATTTGACCCAGTGATCCCACTTCTAGTAATATACCCTAAGAATCCTGAAATACCAATCAGAAAGAATATATGAACCCCTATGTTCATAGCAACACTATATACAATTGTTAAGATCTGGAAACAGCCCAAATGTCCATCAATAGATGAGTGGGTAAGAAAGCTGTGGTAATATGCACAATAAAATACTATACAGCTGTAAGAAAGAAAGATCTCTTATCCTTTGAGATGACATGAAGGGACCTGGAAAGTATTATCCTAAGTGAAATAAGCCAATCAGAAAAAGACAAGTATCACATGATCTCACTTATTTGTGGAATATAATGAACAAAATAGACCCAGAGACAAAGAAGTAGGGTTTAGACTGACAAACCTCAGAAGAGAGGGTGGGGTGGGGAGGGAAGAGGTAAAACAAAGAACTTATGCATATAAGCATAACCAATGGACACAGACAAAAATGCTGTGGAGGGGGTGGGAATGGGAGGAGGTTTTCAATGGGGGAAAAATAGAAACATCTGTAACAAAAATAATTAAATTTAAAAAAAGAAAAGAAAACATTCAGATTTTTTTGTCAAAGCTTTCTACTGTGTGATTATATGTGTCCCTCCAGTTATTCCTCAAATTTCAATCTATTGATATTTTTTCAAAGGTTTCTATGACCCCTCAGTCGAAATAAAGTCCCCTTTGATCCTTATTTGTCTTTATTACATTTATTACAATTGTAATTATATAATTTTTGTGTGGTTAATTATTTAATATCTGTATCCCTAGTAGATTGTGAGTTACTCAAGGACAGGATTATCTTTTGTCGACTACTGTTAACTGAAGACCCTAGCACAGAGAGGCACCTAATGTATACTTGTAGTAGTGAATGAGAAATAGAAAATGTCTGGTAGGATAAGCCTCAGTGTTGTGTATTGACAAGCATCAAAGTAGACTAGTAAACAGTGTTGTATGGAAGATAGGTTGGTGAGCTTGGACTGATTTTAAAAGAGCAATGTTGGGAAGTCTCACTCAATTCACTACGTGAATATAGGTGGAGAGAGTTTGAGGCTGCAAGGGTAGCTGAAAAATTGCTGATTGAGGAACACTAGAAGCATAAAATAAAATTGCAGTTTACTTTAACTGCCTTATATTCTCTACCACCTCATAGATCCTCATAGATAGAATTAATGCACTAAAACTTTTGAGATTAGCCTGAAAAGCTTAAAACTAGGTGGGGATGATGGAGAAGGTGGTGAGTGGCTAGGGGAGATCAATATGTAAACACCCCACAAGGTTGTAATGACAAAAGATTTCAGGGAGTCAGAAACAAACACGACTCTCAAATCAATGGGTAATAGTTTGAATTGATTAAGAAGTAATGTATAAATAAAAGGTAACTGATTTTTTTTTCTCTAAAAGATGTTATCTTTTAAAGTATCTAGGGAGTCTTAGTGTTACTGTTTTAAGAAGCAGTTGAATAAAAAATGAACTGTGTTTATTTGCACAAAGGGAAAGATGAGGGAAAAAAACAAGTTCATATCTCACAATATGTCTGGGAAATATAAGTCAAATCCTAATGTCAAAACCAAGGGAAGCTGGAAGATGTGCATGGGAAAATAAGTAGAATCCATGAAAATGACCTGCCTTATAATACTGTATGATGCTGTGCTAACTGGCACACTGCAGTGAGTTTCATAATGCGTATGTTTCTTTAAGGCAGACAGTCCAAACCCTAAGATTTTTTTTTAGCCCTTTTGTATATCTCTCATGTATTTGGTGAGATTTGTATCTCTCACATTGAGACTCAGTCCAGTTAAAAAGGGGCAGGAATGAATTGGTTTCAATCTCTTCTTGAAATTTAGATCTCTTCAAAGGCATGGTTGAGCAGTAGGTATCAGGGAGCAGCTTTGGGCTTTTGATATACCCTATGATACCCTAGGACTTCTCTCCAGGTGACTGATGACCTCCTGTTCCTGAATAATTTATTTGTTTTAGACATTCAAGAAACAGTCTCTTGGTGCTCATTAAGTATGCTAAATCAGAGAGCACTAGGAATATCAGCTACTTTGTAAGCCTCTGTTACTGACTACAACAGTGCCATTTACTCAATCAACTGCATTTCAACTTTTTTAGATCTTTAATATTAAGAATTATGTGATCCCAAAATTATGGTTTCAACATATTTGTATTCTACATTTGAGGGTTTAATGGAACAGAATCTGGGGTGAAACTTGGCAGATTAGTGTCTCAGGTCTATCACTTTGTATCTTATGTCTTTGGAAAAGTGACTTAAACTGTAAAATGCAATAGGAATAGTGTTGTTATAAGTACTGATATGAATTAATTATGTAAATTGCTTTTGAGTGTCTGGTACTAGTAAGAACTATATATGTGAGAATTTTTATGATTATTCTGTATGAATAGCTGTGTGTACTCATATATTATTGATTAAATAAATGGAATTTTAATTTAAGAAAGCACTTGCAACTTTATAACACGATACTCTAACATTTGGAGTTCTCTTTTTAGGAAAGGAAGAAATTGACTTTTCATTTGTTCCTTAACTCTGTGTCTCTTTCTTCAGCCTTGTTGTCCTTCTTCTTCCCTAGATTTGCTCTTTGGGATCAGTCTTCACCTTAAATTGACATAATTTAAATAGTAACATAACTCAAAGATTTTTTTTCATGTTCGTACTTCATGATAACCGGAACATTGTATTTATAGGTGGAGACCTACAGTTACATTTGGGTGAGTTCCAAGTTTCCATCAGTGTGGATCCACCTTATATTATAGATTTCTAGGGTTATAAATGATATCTGGAGCCATCATCTACTTTTATTATTTCTTTCAATCTGTTGCCCTTTAACATTCTCTGGGAATGACTTTTATGCTCTCTTCACAGGTATACAAAACAGTCAAGGAGTTGTTTTCTAACATAAAAGATTTTGCCTGTATCAGCTGATAACAGAACTTGAAACACAAAACATGGGCAATTTTAATTAATGTTACCTGTCCATCTCTTTCACTTGAGCAGCATCCCAAGTAAACTCTTCAAATATGCTTTTATTGGTTTTCCTCTAGAGGGATTGATGCTCTTAGGTTTGATTCAAAGTATATTATGATTTAGATCACTCTCTCTCTCTTTTTATTTATTTTTTCTGCCTACAGTTTATTGCTTTTGCTTCTTTGTTCTTCATCCTGGTTTCAATCACAACCTTTTGCCTGGAGACCCATGAAGCTTTCAACATTATTAAAAACAAGACAGAACCAGTCATCAATGGCACAAACGTTGTTCTACAATACGAAATCGAAACAGATCCTGCCTTGACGTATGTAGAAGGAGTGTGTGTGGTGTGGTTTACTTTTGAATTTTTAGTGCGTATTGTTTTTTCTCCCAATAAACTTGAATTCATCAAAAACCTCTTGAATATCATTGACTTTGTGGCCATCCTACCCTTCTACTTAGAGGTGGGACTCAGTGGGCTCTCATCCAAAGCTGCTAAAGATGTACTTGGCTTCCTCAGGGTGGTAAGGTTTGTGAGGATCCTGAGAATCTTCAAGCTCACTCGCCATTTTGTAGGTCTGAGGGTGCTTGGACATACTCTTCGCGCTAGTACTAATGAATTTTTGCTGCTGATAATCTTCTTGGCTCTGGGAGTTTTGATATTTGCTACTATGATCTACTATGCCGAAAGAGTAGGAGCTCAACCGAACGATCCTTCAGCTAGTGATCACACGCAGTTCAAAAACATTCCTATTGGGTTCTGGTGGGCTGTGGTGACCATGACCACATTGGGCTATGGGGATATGTACCCCCAAACATGGTCAGGGATGCTGGTAGGAGCCCTATGTGCTCTGGCTGGAGTGCTGACGATAGCCATGCCGGTGCCTGTCATTGTCAACAACTTTGGAATGTACTACTCCTTGGCAATGGCGAAGCAGAAACTTCCACGAAAAAGAAAGAAGCACATCCCTCCTGCCCCCCAGGCAAGCTCACCTACTTTTTGCAAGACTGAATTAAATATGGCCTGCAATAGCACACAGAGTGACATGTGTCTGGGTAATGACAATCGACTTCTGGAACATAACAGATCAGGTAAGGCACAATTTCAAATGCATGCCATTAAATACTTTATAGACCAGTATGTCCTGGAGGTACAAGGCAATCATTCTCATTCTCTGCAAATGTTCATGAGTATTCAGTTCTACCCCTTCACAAAACACGTGTTTGTGTCAGGCTGATAGATAGCTAGATTGTAGGTTTTCTAAATAAATTCCAAGTAGGTGTCTGCATAGCTGGTCTATAGAGTTTTCCTGCTTTTGTGGGAATGCCCTTTGCTGATGGTGCCAATATTTTCTTTTGCCTGTGTGTTGCTTTTGTGCCAATGTTTCTTTGTTTCCCTGCATGATGTGATGGTATGATATTGGCCATTTTCCATCCTTTATCCTCAAAATGTTGATCTCCATATCATTTGGCTTCGTGTGTTTCTCTCAGTTTTATCTCTGCCACATGGGGCCATGCATCTCACCCTAATTCACAAGAAGCAGTTACTTAAGAGGAATGGATGTTTACATTTCCAAGACCTAAACATCAAAGAGGTGATATGGAGGACAGCTCTTTTGATAACAAAGGTCTTCCCTAATAATATTTTGGAGCACTGATTAAATTTTAATTATTCTTCAAATAGGCAGGGTATTCAACATAATCCCCTTGAATTTGGCAAGGTGGTATATAAACAAGTCACCATTATTTTGGGGATAGATGATCTCCTCTAGAGTAGACTGGCTCGATGGACTGTCAGTGCATTCAGTTTGCTAAAGTGATCACCAGGAGTGTCATCTCTAGTTTGTTATGCCTGGTACAGATAAAATACTCTGTAGATTAAACAACTTAATTACCTTTTAGCCTATTAAGAAAATTAAAGATATATATGCATTCACTATCACTTGGCTATATGTAATCTTTTTCTTGTAGAAAAATTATGATAATCCCATGTGAGTAATTTTGCATAATTTAAAAATACCACCAATTAAACAAAGCAAGCAAACAAAAAAGTCAGGTGAGATTTTTATAGGTTTCCTTCTTGGCTTCCACAGTATTTATGGAGGAAATGGAAAAAAATGTGGCTGGAACTGAACTGCTTTTTAAAGATTTTATTCATAGTCCTTGTGTTTATTTAGCAGATTGTTCTGCAAATTCTGTCAACATATATTGAAAACTGTTAGGCCAAAGATGTCTTCATGAAAGGTGGTTTAGTTGGTGTTGCTGGCCTCATCAGACTGTTCTCAGAGCACCTGTGCCCGATGAAGGGCATGGATGGGAACGAGGACCCACTCAGCCTGGGTAAACATTGTTCTAAGAAGCTGGTATCCAGGCTGATAGTTTGTGACCCTCTTTGGCAAGATAGAAGTAAACAGTTTTCTCAAGGGCATTTGGAGAAGTTGATCTTGTTCCATTATGTTCACGACTATTCTGTCACATCAAACTAGAGAATCTGGACACAAGTTTGTCAGCTTTGGGATTATTTTTATTAAGATTTTTGAGAAAATTACTTTCAGAAAGTAATAAAAGTGTGTGTCTCAAAGAGCTGCAAAGACAGTTTTTACTTAAAAGTTTTTTCTTAAATAGGCTCCACTTAAAAACCAAGAGAAATTCCTTTTCACAGTAACTACGTGGCATGTCAAAAATGGTAATATTAATTTGTGTCCTTTTGTATTATCATCACACTTATTTTGAATTCATATTAGTTTTGTGAAAGTAAATTCTTATTAAATAGAATTCAAAATCTATTAGATAGAATCCAAAATCGAATTAAGACTTCCCAAAGAACATTTCTCCCCTTTTCAATACATTTCCATTTTGCTCAATGTAAATTTTTGTGGTGAGTGATGAAAATCTTTTTCTTATCATGATGTGATTATTTTGTTTTGTATATCGAGTGACTGTACTATGAACATTCGGTGTAAACTCTTTGTACCGTCTGTCTCATTTCCTCATTCATCACTGTCTGTCAATGGGCATGGTGCTGTGAACAGTGCTATCAGGTGATGACAGCACAGGACGTGAGTCGCCATTATCACCCCCAGAGAGGCTCCCCATCAGACGCTCTAGTACCAGAGACAAAAACAGAAGAGGGGAAACATGTTTCCTACTGACGACAGGGGATTACACGTGTGCTTCTGATGGAGGGATCAGGAAAGGTAGGCATGCATTTCATCAGATCCTGGCAGGTGACTTAGAAGTTAAGTGCTGCAAATATATGTAACATTGTCTTTCATCATTTTCTAGGAAAGACTACACATAGTGCTCTTGTCCATTCCTCATCACATCTTTTCTCATTACTAACATTTAAAAATATGTATCATAACAGTCTGCTTGGTTGACATATCTGGAAGGAATGTCGTCACCCTTTCTCCCTCCCTCCCTCCCTCCCTCCCTCCCTCCCTCCCTTCCTTCCTTCCTTCCTTTCCTTCTTTCTTCCTTTTTTGTTTTTTTTCATGTGTCTATGGGAAGAATTGTAATGGAGTATTTAAAAATTGTCACTCATCTAATTATTTTAATATTATTGTACTCAGCAGTCTTCAAAAGTTCTTTTTTCCTACAACTAATAAAACTCACTAATTAGCCCTACGTGTATATTTGATAAGTAATTTATGATTATAAAGCAATAATAAGGTTCTCAACCCACACTGCAGTGTGCCTGGCGCATAGAAGATATGTTGCATGGATACATTTTGTTGAGCCAGTGTCTTGGTTAAGGAATATAACACATTACTGAAGTTTCACTCCATCATGTAGTTCAGTTTTCCTAAATTGGACCACTTTGACCATTTCCTAAGTGCTGGTTTTGGTTTTGTTTTGAGTAAACTTTACAGATATCAGGACAATTGAGCCTTTTTCCCTCTTCCTTAAGAAATAGTTTTGTTACATTATCCACCCTTGTTAAAATGATAATATGCTCTTTATTACCTTCTACTTTGATGGTTTCAGTTGTTTTATTACCATGGTTATTTTTGTTTATTGACAGATTGGAGAAAGACTTACAATAATTTCTTATGCAATGGGCTAAATTTAAATAAAAACCCACTCCAAAACTTTCATAGTAGTGCAACTGAATTTAAAAAATATGTGCCCTTTGCTATTCATTGCAGTTTCTCCCTATTGAATATGTTACATTTTAAGCCTCATATATTTATTTTGTGATTTCCTCTCTCTTTGAACTATCTCATTATCCATGTCGTACTTCTCTTTCATTTCTTCTGAACACGTTGCATTGTCCTATCTGTCTCCATGCCTTTGAGTCGCAGAGACAAAGGACTCCTTTTGTCTCCAGTATGCTGTATTTTACATTTTCATTCTAATTACTTTCATTCTCTGCATCTGCTCCTTCCACTAAACTGTATTTCAGTGATCTGGATACACTTGATTATTTGCTATTTTACATGTGAATATTATGTTAGAACAATTTTTAAATATTTTATTAAAATAGTTAATATCCTATTGTAGAACTTGAACAAAACATATGTACATACATTAAATAATTATAATAACAATATCTAACTAATTATATAGAACATATTTTAAGTGCATTACATATCTTAACTTACTATAGATATATATACATGTATATATGTATATATATATTTATATGTAATATGTGTTAAATTAACATACATTTTTAAACATATTCTGTATCGCATGCAGTGTTTATACTGTTACATGTTTAATAACTTAGAAAATTTTCTTCATGTGAGACAATATTTTGAATTTTAAACTGTCAAAGAAGATCATATATGAAAAAAATTGCAAATTATAAAGTGCTATGTAAATATAGTTTCTTGCAAAATGGCAGAGTTTTATGAGCAAAGCAATTAATAAGATATTTAGTTTGCATGGAAAAGTTATACATACAGTCTTATTTCACAAATACAAATTTTCTTTATCAGTGAGACATTTTTGAAAGTTCATGTATGAGCTTTTTATTCATTGTCATTTCTCACCATAATCATCTTTTTTATATTTTCCGTTCTTGGTTAATTCTTTTGCATCGTTGTGTTTTCCACCTGTTAACATTTCTAGCTTACTTCATTTAATCTTTTCTGGTGTGTTATCTTGTCAGGTCTATCAGGAATTTATTCCTTTCTTCTGTTTCCTTTTATATAAATTATAGATTTCCTTTTATGTAGATTATAGATTTCTCCTATTACTCATACTCACACATTTGTTTCCTATATGATTCTTTATTTTCCTACCTTTTAAGTTGGTCTCGCTACTGATTTGATTTTAGAGTTCTGAAAATTCTCCCCTACATAGATGAAAAAAAAATTGGATTCCCATTGAATTCTTTTTCTATCAACAAATATGGATATAGTTGTGCATACATTAAGAAAACTTATAGATTCCCTAAAAGAGTAAACTCCCAGTACTTAGAACCTATGATTTTATTTAAGCAGTAATTTTTAGGAAATCACACGCTCTTAAGATTTATATAAAATGCACACCATGTATTTAGATGGTAGTTCAAATTAACATTGAAATATATTTTATTTTTAAAAATTATAGTTTCAAACATTCCATTCAATAAAAGTTTGGGAAAATTTTTATCAAATTTCTAACTAGAAATTAACCTGTAGAATAAAGAAAAATATATTTATATGAATAACATGCTTATACCAAGGAAATACTTGTTACTAAATTAGAAGGGAAGCCTTTTCAAATGAACTCTGAAATTATAGTTATTAAAAAGAAAAGGATTTATAAACAAAATGGGTGATATTTATGTTAAAAGCTATAATTCAGAAAAATAATTGAATGTTTAAAATGGCAGCCAAGATTCACATATAAGTAATGTGATTAATATAAAACTGCCAAACAGATTTTTACATTTTTGGAAGTTCTGTAGGGAGTGTGGAGATTGTGGGGAATAAGCTGTAAATTTTTATATGGATGGTTTATACATATTAACAACCCCTTTGGTTCATGCATGTTCACAAGTTGGCTTTTAATCAAACCCAATTAATGTTTATGGTGAAGTTTACATTTTAAGGTGACACATCAACTAGGAAAAATCATTCTTTCTGCAGTTTCCAAAGTTATATTTCCCATCATTTTACCAAAGAGCAGTAATTACTAGCCCTCCAGGCACATGAAGGCCCCCATGTCAGGGACAATTCTCTCATTAGCAGACATGATTTCCTGGAGAACTTTACCATAGTTAATGAATGAAAAATTTCTATCTACGAAATATCAAAGAAGACATCTAGTCTGCTGAAAGCTTATACATGCATGTGAAGAAGGGGCTCCGCTCCAGTCCAGCCATGCCCTGCAACAGAGTTTTGTTTTCTCCTACCCATGACTGTCCTGGGCACTCTGAATCGAATAATCACTAAGTCCTTTCAATCACCTCTCTTCTCCTAGTGAAAGTGGGAGAGAGAGCAGTGGCTTCCCTGCCAGAAGCTCCATGAAAGTATAGAATGAAAGAAAAAGGTAGCTAAGAGGAGCACAAGGAAACACAACAGGCCCACTTTCTTTCTTAGCAAGTCATTGAGCACACCGAGGCCATCAGGGCCCAAGGAGTGACCCATAAGTCTAAGGGACGCCAGCTCACTGCAGTTGTATCTATTTGCTCAGCTCTGGCTGTCCAACAGAATGTTTTATCTTCCTGCTATACAACACTCGTTCAATGGAACTGTCAAAACATTTCTTTCCTACAATATATAATATGACTACTTTTAAAATATATATATTTTTTCTTTATTGATTTTAGAGAGAGAGGAAAGGAGAAGGAGATAGAAATATTGATGAGAGAGGACATGGATTGGCCTCCTCCTGCATGCCTCCTACTGGGGATCGGACCCACAACCTGGGCATGTGCCCTGATCGGGAATCAAACCGGCGACCTCTTGGTGCATGTGTGGATACTCAACCATTGAGCCACACTGGCCGGGCAATATGACTACTTTTTCAGTCAATATTGTCCTGCTTTTAAGACAGTTCACTTCTAACTTTAGGTGATCCTTCCTCATTTAACTATCTCTAATCTTTTCTAATAAAAAGTACTACAATAAATGAATTCTTCCAAAAGTGACCTTGAAGGGTATTTTTTTTAATTCGTTTTATTTATATTTATTTATTTATTTTTATGAGGGTGTTTCTTGAGTAGGTAAGGTAAACTACTGGGTTGAAGCTTGTGAGGAGGACCTTTTATTCTGTAAGTCCATGACTATCATGAACAACCAATTAAAATGCAAAATAATAGAAAGAAAAGGGGAATTAAATTCAAATTGTTCTCAATTCCTGGCATGGGAGTCAGCTGAAAATATCATGTAATCAAATTCAGACTTTAAATCATTGAATTATGACTCAATTTCTATTTCATCCATTTTATTTATTTCTTTATTGAAAAGATTAGATATGGACATTCATTCTACATCATCTAGATAATGGCATCAAATGTCATTATTTAAGAATCATTCTTTTAACTCCATAAAGCTGGACGATTAAGTATCTATAAAAAGAGTTGTCCATTTAAAGTTAAGCATGCTTTAATAGCTTGGTAAATAATAAAAAATAAAAAGAGAAAACATAGCCCATTTATTTTTTTTTTTTCAGGAACATAGTCTGAAATTTAATAATATCAACCAAGTGTATATCTTACTTAAGTTGCTTTGCCTAATTCTAAAAGAGTTCTGGTACTGTATATGCCAAAATTATATCAATAGGAACTATAATCTGGGAAAAGATAGGTTTTGAAGTATTGCAGCTGCAGCTGGTTTACTCTTTGGGGATGACAGCTGCAGTGAACTTCAGTTTCTTTAGAGTTAAAATTGTCTCAATATTGAATTCTTTGTAAACAAATTCTTTTTTGAGCTCAAAAATAGCAGTTTTGATTATTCTGCATGGTATTGTTTGCCTGTGTCTATTTTCTGGTTGAATTCAACTGATGCCTGTGCCTTTTTTCATGAAAGGATATGAAAAATCCCGAAGCTTAAACAACATAGCGGGCTTGGCAGGCAATCTGAGGCTCTCTCCAGTAACATCACCCTACAACTCTCCTTGTCCTCTGAGGCGTTCTCGGTCTCCCATCCCATCTATCTTGTAAACCAAACTGCATCAGTCGGCTAAATTGTATTAATTCAAGTACTGTCTACCCCATAATGGAAATAATTAAACGTAGAGTTACTCCCACCCCTATTAATACAGTACAAATCTGCATGATGTTATCTGAAGTAAAAAATGCCATTTGGGTAGCTAATGCATCTTATCCTGGCTTTAAAGAGTATCTAAAGTAGTGGTACTACTTCTCCATACAAATTGCCCTGATATCCTTTTGCAATAAAATAACAGATAGTATCAGATGCTGGCCAGTACACTAATGCATAAACATATTTTCAGGGAGATATATTTAAAACAGTGTGCTTCCAAATGCCAACCACTTCATTGGACCTTCATTTCTGTGAATCTCTAAACCATTCTGAAGATGTCTGGGATCCTCTCTTTCTTGTATACAACATGACTTTGGTCAGCTCATGTCTCTGTCACCTGAAAGCAATGTCACAGAGTTCAGGGACCATGGATGGCTCAGGGTATGTGTACTTGCATCAAACCAGCTGCTGACATGAAGCTGGTCGACTGTCCTGCATGTTGAATGGTGGGGCAGGGAGGGCAAGTTTCTCTTTGATGTATTTTTTTTTTTTTTTGATCCTTTGAAAGAAATATTTGTTTTAAATAGCTTAATTTTGTGATTGATTTACCTTTCTTTAAAAATGCTGCATTGGAGTTCTGAATGTCTCTGGTTGTTTGCACACAGATAACTACAGAGAGGTTGTCATTACTGGTTACACGCAAGCCGAGGCCAGATCCCTGACTTAATGGCTTGGGGAAGGCACAAAACATGAGAGACAGGTAACTGCCAGCCAGGCTTGCATTGTTTAAACAGGAATTGCTGCTTGATACTAGAATACTTTTTATTTCAAATCCCAGGATTTGTCATCATTTTCAGAGGCGGAGTGCCAAATATTTCCCAAAGCTCTCATGCCTTTTTTTTTTTTTTTACCTCCTTCCTTTATTTTTATTTATTAATTTATGTGCAAACATCAAAGAGCATTGTTGTTCACAGGAGGCTTTCTTGACCAGCCTTAAGTTTCTGACTCACAAGAATAATCAGATTTTCAGTCAATGTTTAATCAGGTGCTTTGTCCTGAGTGTTGTTCTGTGTCTGTCTTAGCTCCCTGTCTTAACAGTATATGTCATCTGTCTCCATAAAGCACAGAAATGCCTTGATAAGGTGTTCATGATTTTAGTACTGGGTCTTCTCCCCTGCCCCTTGCCTTCTTTGCTACTTGGAACAGCTTCTCTGCTTTGTGTATAAACTGAGGATGCCTCGTAGACTGAGTTGATCAGTACTGTGAACCTCCCTGATAAGCAGGATTTAGGCAGCAGCAATGTCGCCATTGCATTTGGTTGCCTGCTATAGTGTTAGTTTCTGCTGCCTACCAACCAGCATTCATCTCTACACTTCCCCATGAACACAGCAGCAATAATGTTTCTGGTGTGTTAGGTATATGAGGGAAGAAAAATGCCATAATATGTGTTGGGGAAGAAACTATTTCTAAGGCATTCAGGATCATTGAGATTGTTGATTAGTTTCTAACGCTCATGTTTATTTTTTGTTAGGAGGACAATTATCATTTATATTCTTGGCCACATAACTTGTATTACTCTATTTCCCCAAGCCCTAGAGCATGACCTGCATGTCAGAGATCTTGTACAGCAATGTATTTACCCAGACGTACACATCTGATACTTAGATTCAGTGATCCTCTTGATAACACCACACCTAGAAAGCTATAATTACACACAGCTTTATGGTAAAGGAATTAATATACTGTCTGGTGCTGCTGTTATTGACTGCAGTGTTGTACGGAATTTATCATGGATTTTTGACTGCTGAAAAAGGGACAGTGGAATTTAGCCATACCAAGGACTATACTGGAAACAGACTTCTGCTGCTGAGCGTGCCCTGAAGTGACCAGGTTGCAGTTGGAAGATGTCCCCGCGTCTTCATGAAGCATTCAAAGCTCACAAAAGAACTGTGGCTGGAACTCATTTGGTGCTCCCCATATGAGTGGTCTGCTTCTGGACTGGCCAGTGTCAATGAAACAACTGTAAATACCAACACGTGTGCATGGGTCAATAGTTTTGGCCATCTCACATCAAAGGGAGCCAAATTCATGATGCACATTTCTGAAGCTTCAAGTATGGCCCATACCTCTGTGAATTACCCCTCCTGGGCCCGCAGTAGATTGTGCTGTGAATCATACAAGGCAGTGATTCTGGTGTAGTATCGGTCTGTCTTAATTTCCCGTATTTCTTCTTTGTTGGTTGGATCCACAAACATTAACTGTACCATTTTCTTATAAACCACTTATGTTATAAGCTTGTCATATTATGTTGTGAAATTTTCAGTGCCTATTTATCAAAACTGATGTATTTTTAGTCCCATATTTGTTTAGTTCTGAAAAATCGCTGATAAAAAAAAAACAAAAAAACAAAAAAACTCAGCATTATTCATAGTTTGTCTTTTGTCATTGTTACCTCAATCATAAATATTATAGAAAAATTCTGGCAATGAGAGTATTTTTTTACTAAATGATCAAGGAGCAATGTTAGTATATAGTAGAATATTAATCAAATTATATCTTGAAATGTATATTTTGCATAAAAGAGATATTCTTCAATCACTTTTTTTGTGTGAATTTTGTGGCAAATGAAGCTTGTACTTGTCTTTAAACTGTTGTAGTTGAAACTGTATAAATATTCTTCATCTTGCTTAATCAATATTTCTATTAGTTCCCCTGGGATTCTGAATATAACATAAAACCTTACGATGAACCCCTGTATTGTGGACCTTTTGTGAGCATTTCGAGGTGCATGCACAACCTTGATGATAACCGTGAAAATGTAACTAACTGAAATGCAGAATAAAAGGCAAATAAGCTGGGGATAAGCTTGAATTCTTATCTGATTAAATTATTCATATTCTTTTCTGAGCTCTTCATTTTGCTTTGGAGTTTTCAACAGGCTTTACTCTTTTTGTGGTTCATGGTACCAAGCCAGATACTCATACATAATAAAGAAACTGGGATGAAAGGATTTTAAAACATACATCACTCTCACTCTCATTCAACTCTTCAACACATAGCCAGTTTTTTTCTCTTCTAAGTATTTTGTCTACCTAAATTGTCTTATAATTTTATGAGACGGCCAAATTATTAATTATTATGGTATTTGATATTTGTGGCATTTTATGACTGATACTGAATTTTCACTTACACTTTCCAACTTAATCATCATAAAAGTTCTGAAATTAAATATTTTTTGTGTTTATTTTATTGATGATTAAATTAAAGATTAGAGAGACAGAACTGTTCACTTGTATTTGTGCCAAAGAGAACCTGCCCTGGCATTATTTCTCATAGTTTAAATATTTACTGAACCTCTAGCTGTAAACACTTTATCTTCTAAAGAGAGCCTCCGTCTCACTTTTGGGTATGAACCGGTTTCAGCAGCATGCCACATTGGCATTCCACTTATATTGTGGAGCTCCATGTAAATTTATCCTGTAACATTCGATGAAACCATAGGATTAGGGAAAGGTAAAATGAAAAAGAAAAATCAGGTTGGTGAATTCAACATTTCCCCCATCATGGGTCAACCACACTTTTTCTATGTCTAAAAATGCTCAATGTTGATTTTTAAAGGCTATTAAGAAACTGCTCAGAAAAGGGAATCTGTCTAAATATAATTACTATAATATGTTCTTATTGATAGTGTCAGAATGTAGGATTTACTATAAAGATTAGATTTTTATTTAAAAATAAATTAAATAGTTATAAATGAGAAGGGAAGATATTTATCTTATTGTTGAAATAAATCACAAGATAGACTAATGAAATAGCAATAGTGAACTTGTCTTGGAAAGAGACAATAAAAATTTAAAATGCTGTATTACAAAGCAGAAACTGGAATGAATTTATAACATGCTTGAAGACATTTAGAGCTAAATGAGTCTATTAAAATTTTAAAATCCTTAGTAGTTTATAATAAATAAAATAGGTGGTTTAAATGTTTTTTATTGAAAAAAATTGAATTTCTTCCAATTTCCCCTACCAAAATTTATTTCATTGTTTAAATGTTTGAACATTATTAAACTATAGATATATACTAATTTTCTCTAATGTGGGTTCAACATTATTAATTTTGATCCTAAGTTGAATTATTTATTGTTCTCCCTTAAACTAACCCTGTTTTGAGGCTATGATCTTTTTATTATTGTCTAAAAATTAAATAATTTAATTGAATAAGTATTACTTTATTTATTTATTTATTTATTTATTTATTTATTTATTTATTTATTTATCATACTCTCATGTCAAAATGATGGACCACCGACTGCATTTTAAACACCAAAATCTTCAAATTCTATGGTGATTTCCATGTAGAATCCAAGGTAATCTAATACTATATTTACATATAATACACACATTTCTATAATATAGCAAAATTTAGCATAAGTACAGAGTTCCCATATACCTCCTATCCCCCCACTCACAAACCTACCCCACTATCCCACACCAGAGTGATATATTTGTTACATCCATGAACTTAACAAAGACATATCATTATCACCCAAAGTCCTTAGTTTACATTAGGTATCACTCTTGGTGCTATACATTCTATGGATTTTGATAACTGTAATGAAATGTATCCAACATTGTAGTATCATACAGAATAGTTGCACTGCTCTAAAAATCCTCTGTGCTTCACTTATTCACTCCTCCCTTCCCCTAACCCTTGGTAGCCATTGATCTTTTTATGTTACCACAGTTTTATCTTTTCCAGAATGTTATATAGTTGGAATCATACAGTATGTAGTTTTTTTCAAATTGGCTTATTTCACTTAGTAATGTGCTTTTAAGACTTCTACATGTCTTTTCATGTCCTGATTGCTCATTCCTTTTCAGTGCTGAATAATATTTCACTTTCTGGATATACCACTGTTTATACATTCTCCTAATGAGAGACAACTTGGTTGCTTCCAAGTTTTGGCAATCACGAATAAAGTTGGTTAAACATTCACATGCAAACGTTATGCATATGATTAAGCATCATATTAATATCATGTATTGTGGCAATCATCATTTTATTAATGGTCTGTGATTAAATTCAAAATATGGACATTAGCATGAATTGAACCATTATAGATTTTATAAATATCATGCCCTGATTTACCTTTTAGGTTAGCTAGTCACTTACTAGCCGGTCAGTTAAGTATCTTTATTAGGAATATCTTTTACTTTTTTAAATTTTGGAATCAAATTTGATGTACCATAGTTTTTAAAATAGTGTGAATGTGTTATAAACCATAGAGCTTATATCTTCATTTTTCAGTGTATTTGTCACAATAAAATAAATGAGACAAGGGTGTTCCATGTAACTCAAAATCAAGTAATTTATTTGGGGGTGGGGGGTAATATGTTTTTTTTAAACCTTTATTAAATTTGGAAAACATTCAGAATTTTTACTATAAGCCAGAAAGAGATATTATCACACCAAAATGATTAAAATATGTTGGCATTAGTGAAATTTTTACATTTCTCTTAGGAGTAGTGAAGTGACATAAAACAGCTAAAAATTCTACTAAATGTAAAGGATTCTTAATATAATTTGAATGTGGCCATTCCTGACCTTTCCGTAATCAATGGCCTTGGTGATTTTATTTCCTTTTGGGATCGTTTAGCAAGTGTCTAAAATCTTATGTAAATCCTATTCTCTCTTAACATCCAAGAGAAAGTTATGTTAAAGACAATGATCAAAAACAAAAGAAAATCAAACCTGTAACTTTATTGCATAGGATTAATCATGGAGCCAGTACTCAAGAACTCTCTCTCTCTCTCTCTCTCTCTCTCTCTCTCTCTTTCTCTCTCTCTCTCCACATGGAGAGAGAGAGCTCACATTTCACCAATAACTCGATCTTTCTGGAAACCAAAGGCACTAATTCAAGTGCTCCACATGCTGTACTTTCCTGTTTCAGTAGCTGCTTCTTTTCCCACTAGATACTGGCAGGAAGCCTAGAAACTGGAAATTCTGGATAGCTGGCTGGCAGAAAGCTCCAGAATCGAAGATAGTAATGGTTAAAATACACACTCATACATGCAGCTGGATATACAGAGATGAATAAAAGTCATAAAAAAAAAAAAAAAAAAGACAAGACAAAAACCACAAGAAAATATTGCCCAAAGCAAGGTCATATAGTGTGAAATAAACAAAAGGACAAGACAAAGGTAAAGAAGTTGTTCTCTAATTCTGCTTTACGAACCACGTTAGAATAAATCCTGCACAAAAGGACCAAACATTCTGTTCACAGGCGACCTTGAGAGATTTGCACTGCACAACATGGGCAGGTGAAGAGACCGCCAATTTCCACATTCCCTAGTGAAGAACGAATTCACCCAACTTTAAAACAACTTTTTTTTTCTTCTTTCAATTTTGACAAAGAAATATCCTTTCTTTATATTTATATTATTGTATGGTTAACTGCTTTCAGATTCAAAATATAAAATGTCACTGACTCTATTTTGTTTTGATTTGTAAAAGACGTATTTGCATAAGGTTTTGGTTCCTTATCTGTTACAAGAACACAAGTGATAGAGCACTACTGACAACATGCTGCCCGTCGAGGTAAACTGCTTCACAACATCAATGAGAGTCCCAGGAAAATAGTATTATAAAGGTTTATTTTCCAAAGTTAACTTGTTTTAAAGAAATATTTTTTCTTTATTGATTTTATTTATTTATTTTTGTTCAGACAGAGTGGGGGTGGGGAGAGAGAGAGACATCGACGTGAAAGGTACACATCGAGTGGCTGCCACCTGCACGACCCAACCAGTGCCGGGGACAAACTGCAACCGAGGTACGTGCCCTTAGCGGGAACCAAACCCGGGTCTTTCTGGACCGCAGGGTGACTAATTGCTGAACCAATCCAGCCAGGGCTTTCTTTATTGATTTTAGAGAGGAGGGGAGAGAAAGATAGAAACATTAACGAAAGAGAACATCAGTTGGCCGCCTCCTGCATGCCTTCCACTGGGGATTTGGCCCACAACTTGGGCATGTGCCCTGACTGGGAATCAAACTGGCAACCTCTTGGTGTAAGGGTCAGTGATCAGCCACTGAGTTACACTGGCCAGGCCTTTTTTTGTGTGTGGTTTAGATCTATCTACTTACATTTTTTTTTTTTAATCTTTATTGTTGAATGTAAAATGTATTACAGATGTTCCACATTTTTCCCCCATTGACCCCCTCCTCCCCACTCCCGCCCCCCTCCCACCTTTTTCCACACTATTGTCTGTGTCCATTGGTTATGCATATAAGTTCTTTGGTTTATTTCTTCCCACCCCCCGAACCCCTTTCCCTTTGAGGTTTGTCAGTCTAGCAATGAATTTGTACTTCTTAATCTCTTCACCTTTTTCACCCATTCCCCCAAGCCCCCTCCCATCTGGCAACCAACAAAATGTTCTCTGTATCTATGAGAATGTTTCTGTTCTGCCTGTTCATTTTGTTTGTAGATTCAATTGTCGATAGATATTTATTCATTGCCATTTTGTTTGTTCATATATTTTATCTTTTTCTTCAAAAAGACCATCATTTCATATAATAATGGTTTGGTGGTGATGAACTCCTTTAGCTTTTTCTTGTCTGGGAAAGTCTTTATATGGCCATTGATTCTAAATGACAGGTTTGCAGGATAGAGTAATCTTGGTTGTAGGTTCTTGCTTTTCATCACTCTGAATATTTCTTGCCACTCCCTTCTGGCCTGCAAAATTTCTTTTGAGAAATCAGCTGACAGCCTTATGGGAACTCCCTTGTAGGTAACTAGCTGCCTTTCTCTTGCTGCTTTTAAGATTCTCTCTTTGTCTTGAACCTTTTGCATTTTGATGATGATGTGTCTTGGTGTGGGCCTCTTGGGGTTGATCTTGTTTGGGAC